ACTTCATTTCAAATTTTATCACGATCAAAAAAATGGGTGGGTACTAAACATAAATTATATACAAAACTGAAAAATAATGGGAAAAAAAAAAAAAATTTTTATAACAAATTATTGAAATTTCAAGGCTTCATCCTTGAAGAAAAAATAATTAAAGCTCAAAAAAATGAGCTTATCTGTGATCCACATGCTGAAAAAAAGAAAAGTTTTTCCAAGAAAAATGAAAACCTACATTCTTAAAAAATGACGGCGAAAAAATTGAGCTCACTTATGCTCCACGGATAAAACTTCTGTACAAAATCCTGTCCATTCTCGGACATTGGTAACGGGGAACGAAAGTGCTCCGGACGTTTCTGGGCGGTTCTAGAAATCACTTAAGGGTGCTGAGGCTACTAAAGTGGTCACTAGAAACCAAGGTCCGAGTTTCTTTCAGGTTTTCCGTGAAGCACATAATCGACAAGTTGAAGCTCCAGATTTAAGGATTTAAAATCATTTATTCCTAAACATGGTATTGAAAGTATCATCTGACGTTATCGGAGAAGATAATCTGCAGATTCTGAAGTCATTGATCTCGTCGACTCGTAAATTCAAGGTCCCAAGCCATCTGAAAATAATAATTTACTTGTTTAATCAAATTAAAAAGTCAAACTTTAATTTCAATTTTTTAAACGCAAAAGAAATATCAACCGATTTAAAGGAGAAGCGGAGATGTAAGCTTATAAAGTTATTTCAAAGGATTTTAGAGTGATCCCTACAGAGTTTCCTTTTTTTTTTAAGGACCACTATAGGGGAAATTTTTTCGACGTGTTTGAAGAGGACCAGCGAAGTTCAAAATAGCCGTCAGTGTGAAACTTTGGAAGTCAAAGACAATTTTGAATCTCGCGGATATGACTTCAAACACGGCCTGACGGTCGCTACAGGGGTCAAAATTTTAGTGGCCCTTTAGGGATGGCCCACGCTGCTTAAATGTCCCCTATAGAGTTAATTTTGGCATTCAATGAGAGTAGTATTAATCGATTTTTCTCGTAGAAAACCCTATAGGGACCACTTTGCGCTTGGGGGAGGACCGAGTCTCCCCTATCGGCAGATAGAAGGGATCACTATAGGGGTGCTTCGAAAATCCCTCCAAGGGCCACTCCAATGTTCCGGCAGTGTTTTCTATGCTTCCACTAAAACCGTAAAGCTTTAGTGGTCCCTATAGGGTTCAAAAAACCCCTTGGATCGTTTTGAAGTTCAGAGCGTGGGGATCCTTAAAGGGGACTTCGAAAATCGCTCTAGGGACCACTCCAATGTTCCGGCAGTTTTTTCTTAGCTTCCACTAAAACCATGAAGCTTCAGCAGTCCCTATAGGGTTCAACAAACCTCTTGGACCGTTTTGAAGTTCAGAGCGTGGGGATCCTTAAAGGGGGCTTCGAAAATCGCTCTAGGGACCACTCCAGTGTTTCGGCAGTTTTTTCAAAGCTTTCACTAAAACCGTGAAGCTTCAGTCGTCCCTATAGGGCTCAAAAAGTTTTTTTTTTTAAGACTCCTGACCGCTTTGAAGCTCAGAGCTTAGGGATCCCTAAAGGGGGGGCTTCGAAAATCCCTCTAGGGACCACTTCAATGTTTCTCAGTCCCTTGCTCGTTGGTCCTCCATTTCCCAAAATAACAACCTGTAAAGTGAAACGATGTTGAAACTGAACCAGAACGACGAAAAATCACGAGTCGTTTCCCTTTCTTTTGGGGGGAGGAACGACTGATTTCGCCCAAAAATAAGTATTTCTGGGCCACGTGCTTCGAGGCGTTCAAATAAACGGTTCTAATCCGCGTTGGCACGGGCCAATCACCTCATAAAAAGGCGCCTACGCTCGCTTGTTTTCGGCCAACACAAAAATTGTACTACTATCAGTTTTTGTCGTCGCGGGTAATCAAAAATCAGGAGTTTGTAGGGGGGCTTGTTTGCAGCGGGGAAAAAAGAACGCCGCGGCCACAAATTCGTCCATTTTTGGCTTGTTGATTCGTTGAGAAAGGTGTGGTTTGATACGGAAAACTGAAAATCTGGCGGTTTTTATGGTCCCTGCACGAAAACAGGGTTGAATAGTCATCAATCAAAAATCTTCCAGAAAAAAAAAAACTTGTTTTGAGCCCATTTTGAATTGAAAACAATGTACATGAGCCCTTGTTACATCGCCTTAAAATGAGAAATTAAGTTATTTTTCGATTGATTTCAAAAATATCGATAGATTCCTCCTTGAAAATTTTTGGCAAAAACAAATTTCTTCAAGAAGTTCCGAACCCGGGTCATACACACCGCAGTGAAAGACGCTAGCCACTACACCACGCTGCCAACAGCGGCAGAGAGCTCGTACGCGAGGTAGATTCCCTCTTGCCTTGCAGCACTTGCTCAGTGCGCAAACTTTGAAGCTTCATAACTCGAAAACGGGATTTTTCGCAAGAAATTTTCTTCGTGTTTTGGAAAGAGAAGGTCTTATAGTACATTTCAACTTCCTTTTTGAGAGAAAGGTGTGGTTTTTCGAGAAACTGACAGGAAAAAACTGAAATCTTTAAAGTTCCATGTGGGGTGTAGAAATCAGAAATCAATCAACTGAGATGAAACGGAAAAACGCCCTGGTCGCATTTGGAATGGCTCGGAGCACCTCCAGCAGTCTTTCTAACGCCAAGCGCAAGTCGTTTTAGGTCGGGAGCGCCTCAAAAAAAATCGCTGGGCAGCTCACCAGGTCAGCCATTCCACGTGCGGTCATTATTAGAATGTTGTTGACCCACTTTTGACGAAAAAAAATAACTTTTTGATCCAAATTTTTACTCTGAGAACTCGAAAAATTGATGAAATTAAAATTTTTTCCACAAAAACCACGGAAACCTTGACGTTCCCGGGTTCAATTTTCCATGTTTTCTCAGAAAGGTATGATTTTTTGGCAGCGCCAACTGTTTTTGGGATCAAAAAACTGAAAATCTGAGGTTTTCCTGTTCCCTGCAAGGTTAGCAAGTCATGATCTAACTGAAAAACTAGGAACGCCAGAGTGGTCTCTATAGGGGCTCTTGAAGGTCCCTCTGTAGGGGTCACTCAATCTTTAGGGGCTTAGGGGTCAGACCCGAAAATTTTGAGGGATTTGAGGTTCCACTGTAGGGGCCTTTTAAGCTTCATATTCGTAGGGGTCAGGCCTTGAATCCCTGTACCTTAGTAACTCCAAAGTGGACCCTATAGGGGCAAGCTTAGGCGCCCAAGTGGTCCCTTAAGGGGGGTGCATTTAGTGGCCTTCGTGGAGACCGCTAAAGCTAACAAAAGCGATCCCTTTAGGGGTTTCAGTAAGTGGCCTCTACAGCGGGTATGCTAGTGATCACTTTAGGGTATTCAGTCAGTGGCCCTTTTAGGGGAGCCTCCTAGTCCACTTGAGCTGAAAGAGCTGGGCTTTCCCTATAGGGACCACTTTTTCGTCCCCTAACCCCTACAGGGACCACTCTGGCGTTCCAAGTACTCAAAAAACCCAAAAAAATTGATTTTTCTCCATTTTCTAGATCTACTAAAAATGACTCATTTTCCGCCTAAAATGACGTGTTTCCTCAAATTTTTATCAGTGATCTTTCAAGTTGTACAAAAGGTCGTACAAATATCACCAAGCGGAGTACAAGGCGATAAAAACTTGGGGTTTATTTTGCAGACAACCTGATTATTGAACACTGAAATTTCCTACCAATTTGAACGTCTCAAGGTCAAAAAAACGGACCAATTTTATTTTTCCATGGAAAAATTCCAAGAATCCAAGGATCCTTTGTCATTTTCATCAGATCAATTTTTCAGAAAAGCACCTCGAAAGTTCAAATTTTGGATCGACCTGAAATTTTTTCAAGTATCAAGGCCAGGCGACTTCAATGATTTTCAGGCGATTCAAGGAAAAACAAGACAAAATTTTATTAATCATAATACAATTAGGAAGAACATGCGCTATATACAAATATTATGCAGTTGTGATGATTGGTTCTGGAATTTTTTTTTTCAGGATGGTTCGAGCCTATTTTTGGAAATTTTTGTTCAGATGCAGGTCTTTTTGGGAAACTTGATCGTACAAAACGTCATTTTGGAGGCTTCTAGGTCATATATTTTTAGTCAGGAAACCCGGCCTAGCAAAATATGTGGTTCTGAAGCTTTAAGAGCCACTTCAAGAATCAAAAAAACAAACTTCCGGACTAAAATCAAATTTTTCCAGCACTGAGAGGTCATACTAAAAAACCTAAACTCTGAGGTTTCTAAGGCAAATTTAAAGCCTTAGCCGTACCAAAATGTGGAGTTCTGAAGCTTTTTCAAAGTCTGGATTAAACTTTAAGCCGTGGCTATACTAAAATCTGAACTTTTGAAGCTCCTAGAGTTGCTCCAGAAGCTCAGACCAAACTTCAAGTCATAGCCGTACTAAAATCCATTTCTGAGGCTAGAAGTTCGAACTTCAAGCCGTGTCCAAACCACAATAGGAAATTCTTAAGCTTAGAGCCACTCCAGAAGTTCAGATCCAAGCCATAGCCGTACTAAAATCCAATTTTCTCTTGAGCTTGAAGTTTGAACTCCAAGCCGTGGCCATACCAAAATAAAAAGTTCTGAAGCTTCGAGCTACTCCAGGAGTTCAGGTCAAACTTCAAGCTGTACTAAATTCGGAGATTCTGAGGCTAGAAGTTCAAACTCCGAGTCATGGCCTTACTAAAATCTGAGTTTTGAGGTTCAAGCCAGAGTCCGAGCCATAGCCGTACTAAAATCCGATTTTCTGAAGCCTCAGCCGTAGCTCATGACCTCTTCAGAAAAATTTTCAGCAGAAAAAATGCTCGAACCATTCCGAAAAATCTACTGAAAGGAATCAATTGAATCAAGAAGATCAGGATACAACTTCCTAGGCGGCACTATTAGAGCGATACGGAGAGAGAGAGAGAGGGAAAAGAACACCCTAATGAGCGTAGAGGAAAGCGTCTGAGAGGCGACCCGTAGAAGTAATCAGCGTCTCTCGTTTTATTCCGACTCTTCACCGGCGCTGAGCCATGGCGAGCTCATAAAAGTCCCTAGAGTTGCTGTTGAAGGGGCGGGCGACGTCTTCTTCCTCGTAGAGCGGCCGCAGCTTGCAGCAGGCCGCCTTGATCTCGCGGTAGCTGCACCGGTGGATGCAGCATCGGGTGATCAGGCCTGGAAAAAAAAGTTGTTAGTTCTGATTTTTGGGGTTTTTGAAGTTCCGATCCCTTTAAAGTCCAGGAAAGCTCAAAATTCTGAAAAATCTACATTTTTTTAAGGACCAGGAAAGTCTGTAAGGATGTGGAGCACTATAAAATCACTTTTATAACTTTTTTGAGCTCAAAATGAAGTTAACCTTTCCTAGAGAATCCAGTAATGTTACTCAAGGCTTCAAGAAAAAAAATAGCGTCTTTTATTGATCTTTAAGGCAGTTAAGGTACCTAAAGTTCCTTTAAACGACTTTTCAAAAAGCGTCATGAAAATAGAGCTTCTAAAGTTGTTTCTAAAAAGTCAAACTTTGAAAAAAACTCCCAATAATCGGATCCAGAAGGTTCTGGAAAGCCCTAAGGGTTCTTAAAAGGTCAATAAAGTCTTCTCAATGGACCTAAGTTACAGTTCCGATTATTTTTTGAAGCTTTTTAGGCCTAGCTTCTTGTCCTGGAAGCATATGTCAAGCTCCGAAATTTTTTTTGAAGATTCAAGAAGATCCAGCTTCTCCTTGAGCTTCACATAAAAACTGTTTTGAATTTTGAAGCCCAAGGCTCCCGAGAGCTCCTCCAGCTCTTTCCAACCCTTATCAGGTCAGAAACTTCTGAAACGCTTCCAGAATCTCCTTGAATCTTTTTAACCCTTATCAGGTCGAGGACTCCTGAAAACGCTTCTAGCTAGTTCTTGAGCTTCATTGAGCCTTTTAAACTTGAATTTTGGAGCCTCAGGCTTTTGATAGCTCCTCCAGCTCTTTTGACCCGTATCAGGTCAAGAATTTCCGAGAACGCTCACAGCTTCTCCTTGAGCTTCACTGAGCCTCTTAAACTTAAATTTTGAAGCTTAAAGCTTCTGAGATCTCTCCTAACCCTTATCATGTCGAGAACTTCTGAAAACGTCTTCAGCTTCTTCTCAAGCTTCATAGAGTCACTCAAGTTTGAATTTTGAAGCTTGAGACTTCTGAGAGCTCTTCCAGCTCTTTCAAAACCAGGTCAAGAGCTTCTGAAAACGCTTCCAGTTTCTCGAGCTTCACAGAGCTTCTGAGAGCTTCTGAGAGCTTCTGAGGGCTCCCACCCAGCTCTTCCTGACCCTTATCAAGTCGAGAACTTCTGAGAGCTCCCCCCAGCTCTTCCTAATCCCTATAAGGTCCCTCAAACTTCTGGAAGACTTGATAAAACTAACTGATGGCCTCCTGATTGTCCTCGACGTCCTCCTCGCCGCAGAACTGCTCGCCGGCGCAGACGTTCCTAACCGCATGGACGATTTTCTGGCCGCACATTCGGACGTTCGCCGAGTGGACCGCGACCACAGCCACCAACAAGATGAGAACGACGTTCATTTTCCAAAGTTTCTGAAGAAAAATAACTTAGAGGATCAAAAAGCGACAAGGTGAAGGTCCACGAGAGGGGTGTTTATGATACGGGCAATGATAACGAGTCGCAAAAATCGGTGTTCGTAGTACTATGGCCCACAAACAAAAGTCGTTGAGCGGCTTGGGGAAGGTCTAAGAACGCCCTGAGGGTTTTGGAATTTGCGATCTTTGGTTGGGGGGGTCACTATTTATAAGTACTTTTGAAAAAAATTGAAGAAATTTTTGGGAGGTTTAAAAAAATTCCTGTAAGTGATTCTGATCTTCAGTGAGGACCATTGGAAAATTTTCAAAGATTCTGAAATTCCGGCGATTTTCAAGATTTCCAGAAAAATTCCATTTATGGTTATAAGCTCCAAAGATTTCTGCAATAAAATTTTTTTCAAGTTTCAAAAAAACAAGAAATGTTAAAAAAATTCAATGGTTACGTTTCTGAAAAATACCAGTTTTTATTTGTCAATAATATTTTTTTGTTCAATTTTGAAACCAAGAGGCACCGAATAGTTCTAAAAAAATGCAAATTTTGTTAAGAGTTCTGTGGGAAACAGGAATCTAGGTTAATTCGTCGAATTTTGGACGGGCAAGAAAATTATTTTTTTTTCGTTTTGATCCAGTCAAGACCTATTTTCATATAGTTTCATTCCAAAATGAGGAAATTCTGTTGAGGAATCGTTTTCAAGCCCTAGAAAAAACGTTTAAAATCAAAATGATCCTTTTTTGGGACCTCTAACCTGAGCAATTTTGAATAAACCCTCTAAAAAACTTTAAAGAAAGCTTCAAGCTCATTTTTTCTACCTTCTATGAAATTTCCAATGGCTCAAACTATAAATAACTTCCAAAGAAGACCTCCTTCTTAATGGAATACCAAATAAGGGCCGGAAAAATATTTTTTTTCGGAAGGCCATGTGACCTTATTTTAATTGGGAGTATCTCCGGAAGGGTAGAGAAGAAAAAAGAGCAAAGAGAAAGGTACAAGAGAAATTGGGAAGCCTGGGGCGCTTAAGTACCCGTTGGAAGGAGCGGGGCGAGAAAGGGGGCGGAGTCACAGAGGGCGGAGCCTTCAGGCGTTGGCTCCGCCCCCCTTTTTCTGACGTTTTGCTCCCGGATAATTGATGATTAATTAGTGGATGAGCACTTTGCGGGGGCAATTTCAACAATAATATCATTCTGATTAATTTTGTAAACAATTAACGTGTCTGGAAAGTTTTCATAGTGGTTTCGATGCTGCAAAAAGTGGATTTTGAACCAGATTTTTGAAAATTTGAGAAATTTCCCGTTTAAAAGGTCAAAATAATCGATTTTTGCAGGTTTTACTAGAGAAAGCAATGAAAGAATAACACTAACAGTTTTCAAAAAGCCATAGATTTTCCAGTTAGAACACAAAAATTTTCTGAAAAGCCTCAATTTTTCGTCCTCCATGAGCTTCAGAACTGTATGAAGAACCTTGAAAATATTCAAAAATGAGAGATTTTTTTCCAAAAAAATGAAGAGAAAAAAAGGGAAAAAAATTTACCTGAAAAAAAGTGGTTTTTTTCAATGTTCAGAACTAATCCAAGATTTTTTTAGTCAAAAAAATTGGTTTTTTTCTAATGATAATTCAGAACTTACAGCCCATTTTTCGAAAATTTCATGCCCAAAACTGAAAAAAACGGGCAATTTTAGGGCGAAAACTCGCCAGAGATACGTACCAAAACGGGAAAAATCACCTTATCAGCCCACTTTTATACCTTTTTCTGTCTAGCTGTCAGAAAAAACTCATTTTATGAGTCGGAATAGTGGATAGAAGCCGCTAAAAGGGAGAGGCTTAAAAAAGGCAGCAAAAAGGCAGCAAAAAGGCAGCAAAAAGGGCCGCAAAAAGGCTGCAAAAAGGCAGCAGAAAGGCAGCAAAAAGGCTGCAAAAAGGCAGCAGAAAGGCAGCAAAAAGGCTGCAAAAAGGTCGCAAAAAGGCCGCAAAAAGGCTGCAAAAAAACTGCAAAAAGGCTTCAAAAAGGCCGCAAAAAAAGGGAGAGACAAAAAGGCCGCAAAAAGGCTGCAAAAAAAAAACTGCAAAAAGGCTTCAAAAAGGCCGCAAAAAGGTCGCAAAAAGGGCCGCAAAAAGGGCTGCAAAAAGGCAGCAAAAAGGCTGCAAAAAAGATTACAAAAAGGCTGCAAAAAAGATTACAAAAAGGCTTCAAAGAGTGTCCCTTTGTCGAGCCTTCCATTTTTCTGAAATCTTAAAGGCTCAAGAAATGGTGAAAAATGGCAGCAAAAATGGTGCATAATGGCCCATAAAATGGCGCAAAAAGGCGGCAAAAAGGGATCCTTTTTCGAGCCTTTTTCGAGCCTTTTTCCACCCTTTTTCGAGCCTTTTTCCACCCTTTTCCCACTTTGCCCATGAAAAAAGATTTCGACTTTTTTTTTGAGTTGGTTTCGGTCGTAGTGTTTGATAATGGAGCTGCAGGGGGAGCTGATAAGGTTTCGTTGAAATGGCCGTGTTTTTGAGGTGCGGATACCTCGTGATTTTTGAAAGGTTTTTTTTGAAAAAATATGTTTTAAGTGATGATTTTGAACAAAAAAAGGGGATCGGAAGCGATTTTATAAAACTTCAAAGATCGGTTTTTTCCGCTTTACAAAACCTTTTCTGAAAGATCCTTTTAAAAAGATCCTTTGATCGTCGAAAAAAAGTTTCAGACTAAATTTTGGTTGAAAAATCTGAATTCCGTACAATTGTACATGAATCGAGAGCCGAATTATCCTAAAATATCGAATTTTGAGTCAATTTCACACAGTTTTCAGCCTAATTTTTCATTCTACGTACACAAAAATGCCGTCTTTTTCTCAGCTTCAATATTTTTGAACTTGAAAAAGCTTGAAAGAAAAAAGCCGCAATTATCAGTTTTCCCAGAGAATCGGTAGTAAAAAACGCAAAAATCTCATTTTTAAGAGCTAAAAAATATTTCGTACAGTTTTTCAGTGCAAAAAAATAAGCTTTAAAACATTTATTTTCTCTTTTTTTCTTCCAAAATCAAGTTTTTTAGATTTTTGACTTAAAAATATCCACCCATGTACTGAATTTCCTATACGAAAAGATTATTTTTTCATGATTTTTTGAATTTTTTGAGCTTTCAGCGATTTTTGGGATGCTTCATTTCTAACTGTCGCGTGTTAGAGCAGAAATTTCAAAGCTCAAACTTCCTAGATTTTGAGAAAACAGCAATTTTTGGAAAAAAAATCGCTCTTTTTTCTCGATAATTTAAACTTGAGTTTCCTTATACGAAAAGATGAGTGCAATCAGTAAAAAAATCACAAAAAAGCTCATTTTTTGAAGAGCTGGAATGATTTTTCCTACAGCGTTTTAGTACAAAAAAACATGAAAATCGATATTTTTTTCCTTCTTTTTTTCTTGTTTGAAAAATTATGAATCTCAAAAAAATACCTCAAATTTTTTTAAACTGCCCGAATCTCAAGAATTTTTCGTTTTCAAACATTTTTTTGAGCTTGAAATTTCCCATCCATGTACTGAATTTCCTATACGAAAAGATTATTTTTTCATGATTTTTTGAATTTTTTGAGCTTTCAGCGGTTTTTGAGATGCTTCTCCTCTAACTGCCGCGTTTTAGAGAAAAAAAATTTCAAAGCTCAAACTTCCTAGGTTGAAAAAAATCAGGATATTTCGAGTTGGAGAAAGTCGTCCTTTTTTTCTTGATGATCGACTTGAAATTTTCAAACTTCCCACTTCCCAGACCCGAAAAAAGCCCTCATTCTGCTCTTTCCCTTACCCAACCCTGCAATTATCGAAAATTATCAGTGATTCAGTGAGAAAATCCCGTGATTTCTGAACGTTGCCATAGACAACTTTCACAATGTGTTTTCCAATAATTCGAACGTGACGGGGCTCGAGAAACGACACGTGAATGTATACGTTTCCCTTTCCTACGGCTACAAACTCGGATCAGAAATCGTCGTCTTCTAGAGAAAGAAACTTCTAGAACTGGGAAAAAATTCTAGTGGCCCCTTCAGGGTTTTGACGTATTACTTGACTCTACAATAGTTGGGTGAGTGGCCCTTTAAGTGCCAAAAATTAAGTGATCCCTTCAGAGTTTTGATCATTCAGTTGCGACTTCACTAGTCAAATAAGTGGCCTCTTAAGTGATTAAAATTAAGTGGCCCCTCCAGAGTTTTGACCATTCATTTGCCACTAGAGCAGTTGAATAAGTGGCCACTTAAGTGCCTAAAATCAAGTCCCTCCTAGTGATCCCTCCAGAGTTTTGACCATTCATTTGCCACTAGAGCAGTTGAATAAGTGGCCACTTAAGTGCCTAAAATCAAGTCCCTCCTAGTGATCCCTCCAGAGTTTTGACCATTCATTTGCCACTAGAGCAGTTGAATAAGTGGCCACTTAAGTGCCTAAAATCAAGTCCCTCCTAGTGATCCCTCCAGAGTTTTGACCATTCATTTGCCACTAGAGCAGTTGAATAAGTGGCCACTTAAGTGCCTAAAATCAAGTCCCTCCTAGTGATCCCTCCAGAGTTTTGACCATTCATTTGCCACTAGAACAGTTGAATAAGTGGCCCCTTAAGTGATTAAAATTAGGTGTCCTCTTCGCAGATTTCTGACGTTTTAGATGCTACTACAGTAGTCGAATAAGTGGCCACTTAAGGGGCTAAAATTAAATGACCCCTTCAGAGTTTTGACGTTCTAGTTGCCACAACAGTAGTCGAATAAATGACCACTTAAGTGGCTAAAACTAAGTGACCTCTTTAGAGTTTTGACGTGTCATTTGACTCTATAGCAGTCGAATAAGAGGCCACTTAAGCGGCTAAGATTAAGTGGCCCCTTCAGAGTTTTGACGCATCACTTGCGCCTACAGTAGTCGAATAAGTGGCCTCTCACATGTCAAGTGGTTAAAATTAAGTGGCCTCTTTAGAAGTTTAAGTGCTACTGCTTGGCCACGTAAAGACGTAAAATATTGGCTCTATAGAAGCGATTTT